CAATTTCCATTTAATAGTCGTTCTTTAAAAGTAACCTAGTTGTTCAGTGAGAAATTTTTTCGTCAAGACTTTCAAGTGTCCGTACGTAAGAAACACGCATGCCTCAAGGCTGAATTTGAAACGCTTAAGTTGTACTAGGAACAGGGAACACTCCCTCAGAATTTCAGCTTCCAGTTTTTCTGGTTACCGAGTTAGCAGTTTTCCCGCTAAAACCTTCACATAGCCGTACTTAGGTACTCCACATGCTTGGAAAGCTGAATTTGAAATTTTTAAATTGCACGTGGGCAGGGGATATCCGCCTAAAATTTTAGCCTTCCAGTTCTTCTGATTGCCGAGTTAGCAATTTTCTTGCAGAAACTTTCATACGCCCTTACGTGAGTACAATGCATAGCTTGGGACTGATTTTGAAATATTTGAGTTGTACTTCGATAGGGGACACTCCCCCAAAATTTCAGCTTTCTAGCTTTCCTGGTACCCGAGTCAGCAATCCCCCTCTTAAAACTTCCATACGCCCTACACGCATACCACGCATACCCGACATAAATAGGGGACATCCCCCATAAAGCTGATACCTGGGTGAAAAAAGTAGAAAGTCAATAAAGTGAAGCAGATGCTTAGGCGAAGTTGACAGCTCTCAGCTTTGCCTAAGCATCAGCAATTTGATCCCTCAGCCTTACCTAAGCAACAGCATCATAAATACGGAAGCATTACTTAAGCATCACCTTCACAGATGGGAAAGTCCTTTGCTAATAACGGGTTTTTCGCTTGCTTAAAGCTTCCTTATGAAGCTGACGCTTAGGCAGACCTTTCGTATGAAGCTCTCAGCTTTACTAAGCATCAGCCTCACTTTATTCGCTTTCAGCTTTCTCTACCTAAGCGTTGGCTTTGTGGGTGAGATGTCTCTCCTACTTATGGCGGGTTTTCCTTTTGCTTTTCTTGCTTTTACTATCTTTCTTGCTTGGACTTTTGTCTTGCTTTGCTCCTTTCAAGCCAACACTCCTCCCCTCTCTCTTACGTGGCCTAGGCAATAGCCAAAGAATCTACGTTGCGTAGCCATTTAATGTACTCATCCAATCCGCTCTCCCTGCCTCGAATCC